GAAGGGAAATGTATATATTTTATATTTGTAATATGTGGACTTTCTGAGTTATTTGGAAGAGTCAAGTCATTTAGTATTCCAAATAAATGATTACCAATTGCCTTTCCAGTGCCTGTGGCCAAAGGCAAATCCCCATACTTATGTTGTAGTGAAAAGTTGAGGGACCCATACTTTCTTGCTTGAGCAGCTTACAGTTTTCTTACTCCTGGGATGCTCAGAATGAGCCGGCGCTTCACATGTCCAGAAGAGCAGAGCCTGCTGCCCTTGCAGGCACTGCACCGAGGCCTTCACTTCCCGAGTAGGCGCATGTAGTCGGGCTTTGGGTTTTGTTGGTGGTGGTTTCACTTTATATTTCCCCATACTCTGTCATTTTTTTCTTACACTTCCCCCTTTATCGTTTCTTCCTGCTTCGCATGTATGTTTCTGCTCTACTTGTTGCTGTTGTTGCGCTGAAGCCGGGGCCTTAGAAGGCAGGAGAACGCCCTTACGAGCAGCATCTCTGCAGCACCAAAGCAGGGGTGGCAGGAGCCACTTCTGGGAAATAGGCGTCACTGTGCGAAACTCAGTTTCATCATAGAACAGATTGTGCTCCACCGACACCCAATCCCTCAATTTCTTGTCGGTACTTATCAAAGGAAGCTACTGGCTGCATTCCCCACCATTTCCCTGTTTTTCATTTATACTGTGGGTTCCTCATTATTTCATGGGTGACCGCAGGCAGGATTCTGAGTCTGAATTTTGGTCTCCGAAGGAGCTAAACGCACGTGAATTTTCAGCCACTGTGTGTGATCCTACAGTTCCCCAGCTCTGTTCCTGCCCCACTTGCAGTGTCGCCAACTTGGCCTGGTAGCAGTGACTGTGCTCGCCACCCGGAGGTGGGAGAGCGCTGGGGGAGGGAGAGGTGCCCATCAGGCCAGGAGAGAAATTGCTCGCGAATGAAAAAAGCCACGCAGTGGAGGTCTTTTCGTACATCTTTCATATTCCTTCTGTTCGTTACTGAAATTTCTTAAACTTTGTGCTTCTCTATAGCTCATAAGATCTTAGCATTGCTCCTTATTTTCTCTCAAATTTTAGTGGCTTTGCCTTGTAACTGCCAAGGTGTCTTAATTGTTTCTTAATTAGTTGAATGTTTTTGCCACTGCTTTTGAAAATTTTTTTTAAAGCAAGTGGGGGTGTGAGTGTCATTTCGTTTTTAATGGGAAAGGGACTTCTTGCTTCTATAGATGATCTGAAATTTTCCCGAGGTGCAAAGTTCTGAGTTCAGGAGAAACCAGACTTCTCTCCCTCAGAGCACCAGGGGCAGAGGTGGGAGAGTGTGAGGGCGCACTTGCAAAGGGCAGCTGAAAGGGCACGTGGAACAGCTGGATCAGGGAGGAATCTTTTAGGGGCCAGATTGAAAAGACCCTTTCTCATCCAGAAGACCAGAAGGCAGGGATCGGAGAAGAGATCGGAGAGGCGGACGTAGGGCCTCTTGAAAGGGCCGATGTCAGCAGTTTCTTCTCAGCCCTGGTGCAGAGGAAGTTGGGGAGGTGGTTTCCCATGAAAGACACCTGGAATCTGAGGAAGACTTCAGGCTCCCGCTAGGAGAGGCTTTGATGATCACATCAGAGACAGACTGCAGTCCCGCTGGAAGGATTCCTGTGACTCTCCCCGGTGCCTTCATCGTGCTTCTCCGTGAAGGTTTCATCCAGACACCAGCACGAAGGGAGGCAATGGGGAGGGCACGCCGCTCTTCAGGCAGCCTGGGGAGAAGAGGGAGAAGGAGCTGATGTCTGCCTTCTGGGACCCTAGGCTCTAACTGGGGAACGTGTGAACAAGAACATGAAAGCTGAGCATCGGCAGTTCAAAGTAACCGTGGAAGGGTGGGAGTGGCAGCCTGAGCCTGGTGTGGACGGGCTCCCTCAGGACTGGAGAGCGAGCCCTGGAAGTTTCAGTGGGGTTCAGGATCAGATTCTGATGTCATCCTGGTGCCTCCCTAAAACACTAGAGAGAGCCTTCATTTTAATAAAAGCAATATTTAGTTTTAAAACTTACTTCAAAAGTGTTTCTCTTGTTTTGGAAGACATGGATTTTAGTAGAGTTTTGGACTTTCTTCAGACCTTTGTGTACCTTCCAATTCAGTTAATCTACTTTGTATTACTCCTTTTCCTTGATGAGTTTTTGTTTATATTTGAGAAATTTAAAAAATGACTGTGTTCCTTTTTAAAATACACCTTTGAAAGCTGTGAATTCAGAATTTATCATGCTTTGAAGTATAAAGAAATGACAGGAATTACTTTTTTATTTTAACATATAATGGAATGGTGGTGTTGGCACATCAAAGGGATAGATACCTACAAATAAGATATGGGCATGTCTCCTTACTGCCTAAAACGTACATAACATTTCAAAGAGATTGGAAATTAGGAAAGTTTTATTTTTCTCCAAAGAAAAGTAGCTAATTTTTATATCACCACCTTGCAGGGCATGCAGAGGCTTCGAACAATTCAGATTTGTTCTGCCTGTCTGTAGGGCTCTTTCCCATACATCACTTCATTTGATCCCTTTGACAGCCTTATCAGGTAGACACAGGAGGTCTATAATCACCATTTTACAGATGAGAAAGGTGAGACCCTTGATTCTCAGTGACTTGCCTAAGGATACGCAGGCAGAAAGCAGCAAACCTGAGACTGGAAACTGAGGTGCACTTTTTCCTCATCCTGCTGCTCGCCTGACTACTGTGAACTGGCTTATTTTGATATGTCTAAAGACCTTCAGGTGACATAGACTATACTCTCAGTTGCATAAACCCCTGGGTGCTTGATATATTCTAAAATGACTTATTATTCAAGTATAAAATTCCATAATATGGTACTCTTATTTTTAAAAAACTCGTGCAGTTGAATGTGGATGAAACCTTATGGTGATCTGGCACAGGTGGTGAAATGTGCTGTAGCTAGGAAAGGAATCACTTTTAGGTCTTCTTCTTCCCTAGACAGTTAAGCCAAATTAGCCCCCACTAGCAATATGGACTAATTTATTTCTTAATCGCTAAAATTCTCAACAAGTGAGCATTGGAATTTTTGTCACTAAATATTATCTTGGAATGATCCTTACTAAATTCAGAATTTAGGATGACCGTTTATAATTCTTCATAATTACTGTCGAATATTTTGGTAACATGAAACCAAGTCACAGACCTGTGTAAGGATTCTGTAGTCTTTGTTTAGTTTTCTGTTGTCATTGTTTTCCTCCTCACTATTCTTCCCTCACTCATAGGACCATATCATTAACCATTTAAGAAAATTTTAGACTACCGACATGTTTAAATTCTCCGAAACACTGGCAAGTTGGCGTACCTGTCTCCGGTCACGTAGCTTGGCTGTGTGCAGCTCTGCCTCTGTCCTTCCTGCTGGACATCCTGTGTTCTCGCTGTTGAGTTCATTCGGGCCCCCCCACCCCCAACTCCATGATATGTAATGTTTGTATAATAAGAATCTTTTAGTTTTCATATTTTATCCTAATCATTTGAAAATAAACAATTTCTATATTCTTTTCTAGATTGAGATTGGAAGAGAGAAGAAAAGAGTTGCTGCAGAAACTTGAAGAAACTACTAAATTAACTACGTATTTGCATTCACAACTTAAAAGGTAAGCCTATTAGGTTCTTAAGGGGGAAATTTTCCTTTGCGTTCAGGTGTGTTCTAGTTCATCTTTGATTACTTTTCGTTTTATTTTCAGTTATTTAAAAGTAACATAAAAGAATAGTATAATTAATATTTGGCCAAATTTAAAGTCACAATAGATTCATTTTTTCATGACCCCCCCAAGGTTATATTTGGAATACTTTTGAAATATGTTGTAGGAAGAAGATATGTTTTAGCTGTCAATACCTGCTTAGGAAAATAACACATTTTCCTCATTACCCCATCTTTTAAAAATAAGACAGGGTGGGATAAACTTGCCTTAGAGTAGCCATAGATTTCCTTATATTAGTTAGAAAAATAGTCACTCCATAAATTCATACACAGAGAAGAAGAAAGATAGGTGAACCTCAGGGTCTTTTGTGTAACCTCTTTGTTTTTATAAGCTTTTTTCTCTAAAATTAAAAAGCTTTTTTTTAAAACAAAGTAACTACATTGATATTTTGTGCTGTTCATCCCTTTTGTTTCCCCCCTTTCAATATTTTTAAATTGCAAACTTCCTTCTGGATATCTATGCAAATAAATTTACCAATAGGTATTTGATCCTTTTTTTTTATTAACTTTTGCAAAAGGAGGATAATTTTTAATAAGAATAGAACTGCTGCTTAAAGAGAGTAAGGTTGAAAATGTTAGTGAATAAACATGGAAAAATATAATATACAGCCATGCACTGCTTAATGATGTTTCAGTCAAGGACAGACCACATATATGATGGTGGTCCCATAACATTGTAATACCATATTTTTACTGCACCTTTCTATGTTTAGAGACACAAATACTCACCATCGTGTTAGGGTTGCCTACAGTATTCAGTACAGTCACAGGTCTGTACAGGTCTGTAGCCTAGAAGCAACAGACTGTACCGTGTAGCCTAGGTGTGCAGTAGGCTGTACCATCTAGGTTTGTGTAAGTATATTCTGTCATGTTCACACAACAACGAAATTGCCTAACAGTGAGTTTCTCAAAACATATCCCCGTGGTTATGTGACACTTGACTATAATAACAAGTTCCTCTGCCCTGGTCGTCGATTCTGTTCTTTGGCAGCTTCCTTCCTTCTGGGGGTCTGAAGGAGCCAGCAGCGGTTGTGATTAGATTTTCCACACAGTAACAGATTTTACAGTGCGTGCTTTCTTCTCTCAGCCTCTCTGCCAGCACCCTGTCCATGTCGTCTGGGAGCAGCCTGGGTTCCCTGGCATCCAGCCGGGGCTCTCTGAACACCTCCAGCAGAGGGTCGCTCAACTCACTGAGTTCCAGTGAGCTCTACTACAGCAGTCAGGGTGATCAGATAGACGTGGATTATCAGTATAAACTGGACTTTCTTCTGCAAGAGAAAGGTGGTTACATTCCTTCCGGACCCATCACCACCATCCATGAAAACGAGGTGGTCAAGTCCCCCGGCCAGCCTGGCCAGAGTGGACTCTGTGGGGTGGCAGCTGCCGCAACAGGCCACACTCCCCTGCTGACTGAGGCCCCCAAGTCTGTGACCTCCCTGTCCTCGAGATCCTCCCTTTCCTCCTTGTCTCCTCCGGGCTCTCCACTGGTTTTGGAAGGCACATTTCCCATGTCTTCTCATGACGCCTCTCTCCATCAGTTCACTGCTGACTTTGAAGACTGTGAATTGAGTAGCCATTTTGCAGACATTGGCCTTGGCGAAAATCAGATCTTGCTGGATTCTGATTCAGGAGGAGCATCCCAGTCTCTCCTAGAGGACAAAGACCTCAGTGAGTGTGCTCGGGAGCCACTCTATGAAGGAACTACAGGTAAATGTACACCTTTGCCTTCACCTGCTCCCTCCTAGTTGTTTTAAGGTGAATGACTGTCCATATAGACAAATGATATCATCCCCCTTCTCTTTCTTCTGAGTAATTGTTTTGGCTTCATTTAAGGAGATTTATTTGTATACCTAGACATTTTTCTTTATCAAGTAAAAATCACCTTCCTTATTTAATAGATTTAATCATTTAGTAACTGTTCTGCTGTCCAGAGACCCACTGTGTGCGATAGTTGACTGGGAACATACTTCACGAACACACTTCATACTTCCAAATAGATTCTGGTTCTGAAATAGCAAAACAAAGTAGAGGGCTTTCTTTTAAAAGTTAGCCTAACACAGATTAAAACCAAGGCAATTAGCATAGTAGCTAATTAGTACCAAGGTTCAATGTTTAGATTGCTCAGGGAATTCTATATAAATACAATTTTTGTTTCAAGCCAGACTCTGCCTCTCCGCCTAAAGTTAATTTGGAGAAAGCAGGTTACAGTATGTGGGGTCACCCTGCCATCTTCTGGCCAGGTTAACAATTGCAGCCCAGGGAAGAGATGGGGACACATGAAGTCCTTATGCCTACATCTGTACCCAGAGACAGAAACAAGGGGAATCTCATTTTTTTGTTTTCCTTTGCAAGACAGAAACTTTTAACATATTAGATATGGTTGTAAAGAACATAAGATGATACCCTCGTTGGCAGTGATCACTGCTGTGGCCTGAGGAGGATGATCTATTCCAGAGCCAGCTTGAGGCGAAATGTGGAATAAAAGCTCCGATGCTCATCCACAGAAGTCCCATTCTAATCTACACGTGTTAACGTGTGTCCTGCCACACAGAAGAGGAGAGGCCTCTATGGAGCTGTTTTCTTGGTGTTTTGAGAAGCATTTTTATTTTTACCTGTGGTCCTAGGAATTCTAAGTATTAATTAATTGGCCAATTCAGATGTTTAAAGACAGAGGAATCTAACTTGTTTCTGTGGTTTCAAATACTGAAGACTGAAGTCCTGTGTCGGGCCGGAGCCTGCGGCAGAGATGGGGTGTGTGAGGCCTTTGTGTGGTTTGTGTGCCCCCTCCTGGGAAGTTGTCAAAGCTACAAGTAACAGTCACTGGAATAACCACAGGAAAGTAAGCACGGGAGTGGTGTGTACATAATGGCTCCAACAAAGCGAAAGCCACGCTGGGGCCTCAGCTCTGCTTCTGGGAAGGAGTATGTGTGTGTGTGTGTGTGTGTGTGTGTGTGTGTGTGTGTGTGTGTGTGTGCGTGCGCACGCGCATGGGGTGCGTGCCGCCCTGGAGCCAGCCAAGCCTATGCTCACGTCTTGTCACCGCCTTGACTGTCTGTGTTTTGACAAGCACGTTACCCAGTGTCAGCCCCGTTGTTCCTCATCTGCACAGCGGGGATGACGTGGTGATCCTGGCACGTACCGGGAGCATTAGTGTCCCGACACGTGTGAAGCACCTCATCATGGCTGGCACTCGGCGCACAGTTCATAGTGTTACATAATTATTGGTACCGTGTGGCGATGATGGTAAGTAATACAAACTCTGCTAAACACAGTTCCCACCACTCACCACTGAAAGTTGTGAAGGAAGACGGAATGGGAGAAAGAAGAGAACGTTTTTCTTTGTGCCATCTTGTGTACTTTGGACTTGAAAGATCTCACATTTCTCGAGCATTTCAAGCTGTTTTTGCTCTTCATGTATTTGGAGTGTTCTCTAGTGACCACTTCTCAGCATTCATCAATTTGGGGGGCCAGTAAGGGAGGCTGATGGCTGGAGAAAGAGGGGGAATCAGCAAGGACACTCCTCAAGGTCTGTCACCCACCCAGTGATCCCGACACCCTGACATTCCTGTCCTGCAGGCATCTTTGGTTGGTGGCTGCCTTGCTCCTGGCACTTGGGCCTGCTACTGTGTCTGTCTGAGAAGTTCCTGGCTGGAGACAGTTGTCTCTGAAACTTCTGTGAAACAGTTTTTAACTTTTTCAATGCATATCGTATTAGAAAACTGCTGTTAAAAAGTCACGCTAAGGGAAAATACATCCAAGCAGTTTGCTTGCAGATAATATTCAGTTGCATGTCTGAAAACAACTGAAAGCACATATTTAACTGTAAGGATTAGTTCTCTGAGGTCAGCAGCACTTGTTCTGTTTGGGGGACGTCTGCCCTTCTTGTGCCCTGTTCATCTCCCCCAGTGCTCTGGAAGGCTTAGGCAGGTGAAGCTGAGCCCCTTTCATGTAAACTTTGCTCTGCAGCACCGGGCCCTGCTGGGTGACAGAAACCAAGTTGGAATAACTACGAAGTCCTCCACAGTCAGTCTCTGTCATTGTCAAAGTCAATTTCAGGCTGCTGTGGTTATTCCTGGGGGTAATCAATAAATCATGTCATCACCTTCACCCCTCACAAAGGGGGCGAGGCGGAGAGAAGGCACTTCATCATCAAGGAAAAAGCATTCCCACTGCCAGAAATAAAAGGAAAAATGCAGCAATCAATCCTGTAATCTGAAGCCTTAAAACTTAAACATCTTAACAAGATGTAAAGTCACGACTCAGGAGGGGGCCGAAATGCATACCCACGCGGACCCCTGCGTGCTCGCTGGCCCACTGGAGGATGAAAGGACTCCGCAGGCAGGCGGCTTATTACAGTACCGAACACAGCTCTAAATGAGCGCTCCTTGCTCACTGCAGGACGCTGGCGTATGAATATGAGTTACAGATAAAAGTTAAGTGGTAGTTGGTGCTAAAGATTCAGTAGCACAAAAAGTTTTTTTTAATGATATTAGCTGGTGAGGAATTCCTGTAAGTCAAAGACACTTTTTTTCTTAATTTCTATCAGAGTAGTAGCAAAGGAGATGTAAAATATGGCATGTGGAGAGAAGGGTTGAAGCAAAAGAGGTGGAAACCTTTTTTCCATTGAGTAGCTAGACATTGTAATAGAAATATCTCTAATGCTTGAAAGAAGCAGATAGTTTCTTACCCCCAAGTCTATGGTAACTGCAGTGAATGCTTGAAAGAGGCTAGGGACCAATGAGAATTTGTGTAATTCATCCCTTCCCTTAAAATATTTCAGGACAAAGGAAAACCGTGTTTTTTCCTAAATAATGACTGAAATAACTGGCGTCCCAGGAAACTCACAAGTCACAGTGCCTTGAATTGTCCACCTGTGTTGATTTGAATAGTAACATCCTCGGCTCTCAGAAGGAAGTTTTATTTGGATTTCTCATGACCAAACTGTGTGTGTATCTTATACTTAACTTTTCCTGGTAAGAAATCCTAATTAGTGCTATCACTCTCCCCTCCTTAGATGTTGAAAAATCTTTACCAAAAAGAAGAGTGATCCACTTGCTTGGGGAGAAAACCACTTGTGTGTCGGCCGCTGTGTCTGATGAGTCTGTGGCTGGAGACAGTGGGGTCTATGAAGCCTTCGTGAAACAGTAAGGACTCAGCAGCCGTGCTTTTTAGCTTCCTCATCTCCTGATAGCCGTGCGTGTGGGTTATGTGCTGTAAATGTACTGTTACCGTTGGTCCACTCTTTGGAATAGGAAGGAAGTTAACCATTAAAGAAGTCGTGTGCCTGAAAACTTCAGTATACCAACAACATCTCATCAGCCATGGAAATGATAAGCAAGTTGGTATACTCAGAGGCAACTGACCCTCTTAATAATTAAAAAAAACTTGATTTTAGTGGGAATGTTGGAGTGATTCTTCAGTGCCTGTTTGGCATATGAAGCTTCTCGTGTGTATTTCTGAAAGTGGAAGCCCGGAATGTCTCCAGGGGTGTGGGATGCCCTACGAAGCCTCAGGAAAGCCAGATGTCAGAAGGTCTTTGCCCTAACGCTCAGAGGCAGACTCTTCTTGAAAAGGCAAAGAAATCTTCTAAAACCATAAGCTTTCGCTAGGATTAGTTCCACTGGGATGGTTTGGGAGTGCTGTTAATTCAGGTTTTCGTTCAAAATCATTAAGTGGCAAACAGTAACCGTAACAATCGATATCCCCATTAATTAACTGTTCGCCTACTCCCTGTCCCTAGGCCTAATGAAATCGAAGATGTTACATACAGCGAAGAAGATGTGGCCATTGTGGAGACGGCCCAGGTGCAGATAGGACTCAGGTAAAGAAATGTGCCTGGGGAAAGGGGAAGTTACGAAATCCACGCAGTGACAAGTGGCCTGTGGTCATTCCTTCCTTCATGCCAGCTTCTCTTTTGACAGATACGATGCAAAAAGTTCAAGTTTCATGGTGATTATAGCACAACTCCGAAATCTCCATGCCTTCTTGATACCTCATACGTCAAAAGTGTAAGTACAATCAGTAAAGAACCTAAAAGCTTGCGCATAGGATAATTTTACACGGTGATAAAGCCTGAAGATATGGGACAGGCACAGCAGGGCTGATCGTGTCTAAATCAATGGTAGATAAAGATGAAGAGCAAAGGAAAATGTGAGAAAGGTGTGTTGGGTTTTGGTCCTTTTTCAACTGTTTCATTATTAAGAATAGGAACTAAGACTTTTTAATCTCCTTTTTCAACCAGAAATTCTGTATTATGCTATGTTGGGGCCTGATTGTTTGAAATATAATTAAAGTTTTTGTTATTGTGCAATAGTTAACTACTGTTGGTTTGGAGGAATTTTCTGATCTTTTACATGAAAATGTAGTGGAATTTTATTTATCAGTACAATATTGCCAGTCAAGCACTTTATTATGGTACATGTAAGAGTATGTTTTTATCATCAAACATTCACTTCCCTGTGACCAAAGACTTCTTAAAGTTATTTCACTTCATCGAACCATTCAAAAGTGATGGCATCATGCTATACAGTCCATTGCTTGAGGACTGTTGTTTCCCAACAGATAACTGTAGAGATCCTCGCCACCATTCATACTTTTGGAGTCAGAGTTTCACTGACTTTTAAGGGCTGATGGCTGGGTGGTACCAGAATGAAGCCAGATTTTAACTTAGCACCTCTGACTTAGAATCCAGAATACACATGCCCGCCTTGCAGTTAGCTTCCTATAAGAGGTAGATCTTAGTAATATTTTGAATGTGCTGCACAAGGGCTTGGAAATAAAAAAGAACTATTGTGAAGGGTGATCCCTGAGACTCTGTACCCAGCCAGGTGGATGTTTTCATTAATGATAGAGCATATTCTTCAATGAAAGGACTTTTAACAGAATAAATGTAAGAGTTCTGCAAGTTTTTCCTACAGGTTTACTTTTAAGTTCACATCCTAACATTCCAAGAATTGTCAGAAAAAAGAAACTGGATCTAAACAAAAAAGAGATGGGTGGAGATTGCTTAGTAGGCAGTGCAAGGATGGAGATGGGAGATGTCTGTGTTTTGCGAGCATCGTAGCTGGAGAGGGCTAGGATTCCAGGAGGGCATGGGCTCAGAGGACTTCTCAAAAATCAAGGCATGGGCCATCCACATTACTAGCAAGACCTGCAAAGAGAGCGGGCATAATGTGGGAGTGCCTAGATCGCTACAGAGAGCCTACTTTCCAGGCCTGCGATTAAAAATACCAGTCAGCAGTATTCCGGGAGGACGGGCTTGATATCTGTGACTTCTCCCTACCAATAAATATGCTGTGATATTGGAGTGTGCTATTGTTGGCCTTTTAGTAAAGCAGATTAGGGGAGAAGGCAAGGCTACCAGAGATTGACTCTGTGACAGTGAGAACCAATTTACAAGTCCAGGAGAAAACTGCACAACGCCCCCAAAACACACACTTCCTTTAAACTCGTATTACAAAGGGTGCACCTACCCAAATGCTCCACCTTGATCAACTAAACAGGTCACGATCATTCTCACTTACTTCATAGGAAGTCACAGAGTGCCCTCTGGAAGTGTGGTGACACCCAGGGTGGTTCAGGACTAGTGGGAGCACTCAGCCCAGCTGTGAGTACAGAGCGCTCTTGCTCCCCAGCTGGTATGCAGTTACTTGTCAGACTGGTCTGAACTTTCCTGACTTATATAGCAACCTTTTCTTAAACCCATATATAAAAGCCTTTGCCTAAATAATGACACTGGTAAAAATGGCAACTAGTTTGAAATATTCTTAAAATAGTTCTTTTTTCTCCCAACTTCAAAACTTATTCTTTGGTTACTAATTATGACAAGCGGAGTTTAGGCTTTAGCTGGTTGACAGCAGCCTCAGTGGTTCTGTGAGTGGCTTGTGGCTTGCGTGACTGGGGTTTGGAGACCCCCGAAACACACACACACACACTCCTCCACGCCTACAGCAGAACGAAAGGAACAGCTCTCCTGCCCTTTCCCTTGTGCCTTTGCCTCTTAACCATGTAAAACTCACTTTTCTAATATGGAAACATTTTAAAATCACTGAAGTGGTTAGGCCACTGGTACAGAGTAAAACTGAAGCTGGAGAAACAGAAGATTCCCTCCCTCCACTCTAGCTCTCTAATATACTTCTCCTTTATTACTTTCCCATGAAGGCAGAGAAAAAGATTTCCTCCTGCTGCATCTTCAGCCTCCCAGGCAGAGTGAGCTGTGTCTTAGTAAGGCTCCTACGTCAGCAGCAGTGGCCCAAGGCCCACGGCCCACTGGGTTGTTAATGCTGAATCTCCATAATTAATGGTGACATGAAATACAAAATAACGGGACCTTCCTCAGTTCTGCATTCGTAGTTTTTCTAATTGCATATTTTACAGTATGAATTAGACAAGCCTGGAAATGGGGGTGGAGAGGGTAGATTTAGTGGGTATTTTCCTTCTAGAATTTAAAATAAAATACCTCATGCTGTTTCTAAGAATTATGAGTCCTTATATAATGTGTGCTCAAAAAATTCACTTTAAAGTTATATTAGAAGTTGTTTTTCTATAACCCTTCCTCTGAATTTTACAAAGCATAAGACTCTTTTAAAATGGTTTGTCATATCTGAGACTTTGGAGATGCTAGACAATAATATTTTCAAACTGTTATTTCATCTGTTTTAAATTTTCTTAACAATGTGCTACTTAGCCTTTCTTTCTCTCTAGTAGGATAATGTATTCCATTCCTGGGAAGTGATCATCAGCATCTCTTGTTTAATACTCAGGATGAGGATTCTTTGGGATAAAGTCATCAGTATCTACTTAGTGTGTTCCTACCTTCCCAGGTTCAGAAATAACTTATTTTGGAATTGCCTGTACATGGGGCAGGTGGGACGTTAAATTCGTCTGCCCCACGGACTTTCTTCCTCTTCACTTTCCTATCATGTGCCTTTGCTGCAGTGCCGTGGTGAGTGGTAGGCTGGGCCATTGCATGCTCAGGGGCACAGTCGGCACGGGTGGGTTGAGAACAGAGCATCTATGCAGCTGAGCACAGACCCATTATGGCAGCAACGCTTTAGGTTGATTAAGAACTCCATGTTCTCTCTTTTGCAGATAATTTCAAATGATAGCTGTGAATCCAATATAAACGAAGTACCTATGAAATCTGTTTTATTCTTGTTCTTCGCAGATATTTTAGGGTTGCTGTACTTCCCTCCTCAACTGATGTAAGCTGTCTATTTCGAACAAAAGTCCATCCACCCACAGAATCCATTTTATTCAATGATGTGTTCAGAGTGGCCATTTCGCAGACAGCCTTACAACAGAAGACACTGAGAGTGGATCTTTGCTGTGTCAGTAAACACCGAAGGGAAGAATGCCTGGTAGGATTCTTCATAATTGCCATTATCAAATGACACTTACGATTGGATAGTCTGAGAATATATTTTCTAGTTGTTATTTTGCCAGCCCTGAAACCACTCCAAACTGCCTGGTACCTTGGAACACATCCAGTTTGTTTGATTTTTCTTCTGAAGTAGTAGTTTCTCTTCTTCATTCCCTTATTCCAGACATTTAAAATCTACTTATAAATTGTGATTTTCTATAAAAGCTACTTTCCATTTCTACCCTTTAACTACAGAAAGACTCGTAACTCTGCTACAACTATAATTTATGGAGCATGCTTATTACGCCCCATGCCAAGCCTCGTGCTGAGTGTCTGTATGTATTATGTCATATAATCCTCATGACAGTTGTATGAAAGGTTGAGTATGAGAGGTATGATTGTGCGCTGTTTTCAGATAAAGAGCTGCTTAGAGAGGTAATGTATCCTGGGTCACAAACATCCCCATATAATTCACCGCTACAAATCAAAATTAAGCAAGACACTGAGTACTACATAGTTCCTTTATTCAGCTCATTCTCTCCTGCCATAGTATTAGAGTTTCTAGGAAGACACAGTGTTACTATTTAGAGCAATATGATATTTAAATGCCACAGCAGAAGACTTCATACTTAACTAATAGTGAGTTTAACACACCATTGTGCATAATGACCAGAAAATCATTACGTCCCAATAAAGTTATATAGATGTGCAAACTGGCATCTAGAGGTGTGTGCCCATGTGTTCAAAAAACAGTGAGTCTCTCCAGTTGAGCTCTTCTCTGCAGTCCAGTGGGAAGCACAGAAATAGGCATGTTTCATGATAAACAAAGTTTAAAAGGGCGATAAGTTTCTTCTTAATTTTTTCTTTACTTGAAAAAAATGTTTCATGATACTGTCTGACAAGAAAGTTAGAAGCAAAGATAATAGACTTGTTAGGCTAGCAGAAAGGATTTAGTATATTAAATGCCACATTTAGTATAATATATGTCAAAGGCTCCAATAAAGTTAGAAAATATGTTAATTGATAGCCTTTTAAAAAATTGTATAATTTAATTTAGATTCTGGCTTTTTGTGATTTGGTGAAATATGAAAGCTTTAACACGTCTACTTTTTCTGACATTCTACTATCTTCCATATCCAAAGAAAAATTTTGCTATCTGATTTCTCATTCAAGAACCTAAATGGAGTTTTCAATTGTTTGTTTTAAATTTTTCACTGGATAATGGTTATTTATAGTAATCAAATTACAACATATTATAAGAAGTACTATGGTTTGAGCTTAGTTTTTTAACTTTTCATTTAAAAATAATTTCATGTTTACAAAAAAGTTACATGCTGAGCCATTAGGTGTTGGCAAAATAGTATCTGTATAATCCCTGGATTGACTTTTAGATTGAGAGTTATTTCTTACAGCTGAAAATAGAAGATTATCTCTGGGTCTTAAAAAATCTACCAGTGCTTTACCTCATAAGTATTGTATTTGTTTTTACACTAAAACAGGCTTACACAATAATATTTATTAGAGAGAACAAAGACTAATTTAAACATTTTATTTTCTCTTTTCTCTGTTTACTTTTTTTCCTTTGTTTTCTTTCACTTACATAGGCTGGAACTCAGATCAGCCTGGCAGATTTACCATTTTCCAATGAGATTTTCACTCTATGGTATAACTTACTTACTTCCAAGCAAATGCCTTGCAAAAAGAATGAAGAAGAAAATGAGGACTCTGTATTTCAACCGGAACAGACACTAGTAGACTCTATAGACTTGGTGAGTCAGATTTGCGAGCAAAGTCGTTAAAATGCGGTGGAGTCCCATGAAACAGAACGCTGTGAGACCCGCGGATTCTTGTGCAGTTTCACTGTCCTTCCTTCTCCTCTTTCACAGCTTTACCCTTTTCTCCCAGCTTCCTAAAAAAAGGGAAAGGTAATTTCCAGCTTTGTTTCAAGTATAGTTTATAAAAAAACCACTCTTTTCTGCTCACACTTCTTTGTAAAAATAAACTGATGTCGGAGACTTCATTGTTTTAGGTGATCACGGAAAACCTTTTGATTTAACTTTATATTTTCGTACATTGTGGTCACATTGTTTGATGCCACTGTCAGGTTATGTGTTTGGCACTTTCTGAAAACTTGAAACTATTAAGCCCAAACATTATGTTAAGTTTTTCATTTGTAATATCAATGGCCATAAGTGTTTTCTGTTAAAATGTTTCTTGTAACCAACAGTCATACTTCAATACAGTACTTCTAAAAATTTACAAAGGGGAATTTTTTGAGGCCATTCATCACTGATTTGACATTTGTGAATATTGTCATTGACTTCAAGCTTATATTAGATTAGCTAGAGGAAAGCGTTTACTAAGCAAAAGTCAGATAATTAAGCAACAGTGCTTTATTGATCATCTACTATGTGTCAGAAACTATAGTGGACATTGTGGTAGGTGGTGAACGGGGAACCAGCATGATGGTATAGCTTAGATCACCCAGGCTGTGGCAGACCCTGGGTGAGGCACGCAAGATGGTGAAATGTGATTTCTATCTTTAAGAATGCTTTTATAATGGTCACACTTATATGTAAGTTTTTAAAAATAGCTTTATTGCAATCTAATTCATACACCATACAATTCACCCATTTAAAGTGTACGGTTTACCCATTTAAAGCACTCAACTCAATGATTTTTTAAGTATTCACAGAGTTGTGCAATCACCACTACAATCTAATAATAGAACATCGTCATCATCCCAAAAAGAAGCCAACCTGTGAGCAGTCACTTCCAGTTCTCCCTAACCACCTTCCCCCAAGGCAAACACTAATCTCTCTGTCTATAAATTTTCTTGTTTTGGACATTTCACCTAAGTGGAATCATACAATATTTGTTCTTTTGTGACTAGCTTCTTTCACTTAGCATGATGTTTTCAAGGTACATCCATGGTATAGCAGTATTAGTTTTTCAGTCCTTTTTATTCCCAAATAATATTCTCTTGCTGATACATCACATTTTGTTCGTCCATCAGCTGATGGATATACATTTGAGTTCTTTCTACCTCTTTACTATTATGAAAGATGTTGCTATGAACATTTGTATACAAGTGTTTTTGTGGAAATATGTTTTCAGTTCTGTTGGTATATACCCATGAGTGGAATTGGTGGGTGGTATAGTAACTCTATCGTTAACATTTTGAGGAGCTGCCAAATTGCTTTTCAAAGTGGCCTGACCATTCTACATTCCCACCAGTAATGTGTGAGAGTCCCAGTTTCTCCACACCCTTGCCACATGTTGTTGTCTATCTTTTTGATTCTTGCTGTCCTAGTGGCTGTGAAGTGCTATATCACTGTGGTTTTGATTTCACATTTCCCTAATGCCTAATGATGTTGAGCATCTTTTCATGGGCTTATTGGCCATTAGTGTATATTTTTTTTGAGAAATGTCCCTTCATATTCTTTGTCCATTTTTAAAATGGGTTTATTTATCTTTTTATTACTGAATTATAAGAGTTCCTTATGTATTCTTGATACAAATCCCTCATCAGATAAATGATGGCAGATATTTTATCTCATTCTGTGGGTTGGCTTTAAACTTGGTGGTTTTGTTTGCAGCAGTAAAGTTTTTAATTTGGATAAAAATCTGATTTGTCCATTTTCTTTTAACTTGCTTGTGCTGTTGGTGTCATATCTAACAAGGCTTTGCCTAAACTAACATCATAAAGATTTACTCTTGTGTCTTCTAAGACCTACATTTAGGTGTCTGATCACTTGAGTTGTTTATGTGTGATATGAGGACGGATCCAGTTTCATTCTTTCATATGTGGATGTGCAAATGTCCCAGCACCATTTATTGCAAAAATTATTCTTTCTGCATTGAATATCTTGGCACCCTTGTCGAAAATTGAGGGTGCGAGTTTATATTTCTGGACTCTCGATTCCATTCCATTAATCTGTATGTCTGTACTTACGCCAGTACCACACAGCCTTCATCACTTAGCTTGACAGTCACGTTGAAATCAGCGTAAGTCCTCCAACTTTTTCTTTTTCAGGATTGTTTCGGCTGTTCAGGGTCCATTGCATTTCCATATGAGTTTTAATATCAGTTTATGTTTTAAAAAAAAAACTCCAGCTAGGCTTTTGATAGGGATAACATTGTATCTGTAGGTCAATTTGGGGGTTCTTATCATCTTAATGGTTTTAAGTCTTCTGATCCATGAATACAGAATGTATTTCCATTTACTTAGGTCTTCCTTAATTTCTTTCAACAATGTTTTGTAGCTTTTAGAGTCCAAATTTGCACTTCTTTTGTTAAATATATTTCTAAGTTTTCTTTTTGATGTTATTATAAATGGAACTTTTTTTAAGTTTTATTTTTAATTATACATGTTTTTAAATGACACAATAATTGTACAATAAATGTGATGTTTCAATCCATGTATACATTGTGTAATGATCAAATCAGGGTAAATTAGCAAATCCATCACCTCAAACTTCTATTATTTCTTTGTAGTGAGAACATTCAAAATCCTTTCTTCTAGCTATTTTGAAGCATAAAATACAGTGTTAACCCTAGTCATCCTACTGTACTGTACAATGGAACACCAGAACTTACGCCTCCTTATCTCACTGTAATTTTGGTCATTGACCAACCTTTTCCCCATCGTCACCACCCTCCCCATTCTCCCCAGTATCTCTTAAGCTCAGGAGTTCAAGACCAGCCCGGGCAAGAGCGAGACCCCCTTCTCTACCAAAAAAAAAATTTAAAAACTAGCCCAGTGCAATTGCACATGCCTATAGTCCCAGCTATTGGGCAGGCTGAGGCAGGAGAGGATCACTTGAGCCCAGGAGTTTGAAGTTGCAGTGAGCTATGATGATGCCACTGCACTCCACCCTGAGGTGACAGAATAAGACTATGTCTCAAAAAAAAAAAAAGATTTTCTCTTTTTCTTTGACTTTTAGCATTTTCACTCTGATATGCTTTAATGTGGTTTTCTTTGTGTTTATACTAGTGGAATTCTTCATTGTTTCATTTGTTTTTTAGACATATTAATTATAAAAATTTAAATTCCTTCTCTAAGTACCTGTAGTGTACGGATCACCTGTGAGTCTCTCTCTTTTGCCTGTTGTTTCTATTGGCTTTCTGTCATATGTCCTGATGGAATGCTAGATATTATATATGAATGTATCTGGCTGATATCGTCATGCAGACGGGATTTCCTATTCTTCTAGAAGGCAAATTACAATATGGGAAGATGGTCTGAATCACTTGGGGGACCTGAATTCCAATTGTTCTCTCCCTAGGACTATACCAGACACCTGAAATATCTGCTTTACCATTTTAGCCTCCTAGCAGCTGGGTTTTTGCTTTGTTATTCAGCTTCTCTGTGCACATAGGCAGCTTAGGAACAGCAGATGCCCTGACAGGAGTGTCATGCAGCATGTTGGGCCCACTTTACAGTTCATTGTCTCTGGGCTCTTGTGGACCGAGCACCTTGGTAGTCCTGAACTCAGGTGTAGCCTTCCCATCCTCTGACACTGCCTCGGTTCTAAGCAGCCGCAGTCCACTGGCCCGCACGCCTCACTACTAGAATTGGGATAAGAATGGCAGTGACTTCCCCTCATTGTATTTCTCTTCTCCCTGGGATCTTGGCCCTCTAGTCCTAATTGCCTTTGTTGCTCTGGATTGCTTTAAAACATCTGAGAGTTTTTATTTGTTTGTTTTTTTATTTTATTCAGCGTTCATATTTGTTCTCAGCAGGAGAGTTGAGTCTGTTACAAGCTTCTTCTTCACAGCCAGAAACATAAGTCCCCATCTGATGAGTTTTTAAATCATTTCTCCAAATATATGATGTTAGTTGCCATATGTTTTACATTCTCCAGGATGCAGTGTCAGCCTTACTTGCAAGAACATCAGCTGAGTTGTTGGCTGTGGAACAAGAATTAGCACAAGAAGAAGAGGAGGAGGAACCAGGGCAAGAAGAGCAAAGGGGTCCAGATGGAGATTGGTAAAGCAGTTATTTCCTTTTGCTTTGGGAACTCAAAGAGCGTGTGGTTAGTTTTGCGTAAGAAGCTTCCAGTGAAACCTTCATAGGTTCATATTTTGTCCTGGAATCATGGAAGGCAATGTGGCTTCAAGGAGCTGTGGCCAGGGGAAGTCCCTCTCTCCTTGGTCATCACGGAGTTGAAGGACGTAACAGCAAGATTGTGGGCAAAGTTAACACATTAGCCAGATTCTCTGTTCTCGTTTCAATTGTTAAACACTGTTTTCTGAGCTTTTAAATTCTAAACTATCAATTTTGAAAGATAAAGTAGTTTATTGTAAAGTCATAGATAAATTAAAGAGTGACTCTCTTTTTAAAAAAAGAAAAAACAACCCAGAAGTACCATTTAATCTCTGGAAAGACAAACGGAGCCTTTCACAAACAGCTTCTGAGTAGTCATTTCTCCGTTACCACTTTCACCTCTTTTTCTGTTTTCTTCTCTGTATCTGTACCTTATCCTTTAAAAAGGGGGTGTAGGGGAGGTTATCATAGGTTTTGTCCAGACTCGTGTATATATAAAGAGCTGTCTTTCCTGGTTTGTACTGTTTTCTCTAGAAACAAAGTTTAGTGAACAGTTCATTTTTTAAGTATATACATAAAATCATTTTGATTAATTTTTTATATACAGTTGCTCATACTATTATGTTTGGCTGAACTACTGTTAACATATACGTGTATATACATAAATAGCATGCATTTGCGTGTATGTATATACACACAGAAAACTATTTAGAAACTCAGAGTGACAAAGTATATTATAAATAACAATCATAGGCAGTTGGAAGGAAGAGCTACTACAGTGATATAAAAGATACAGATAGACTTTGTGCTTTTCAAAAGCTCTTCATAGTAAATAAAAATCAGAGTACTGCAAAACAAATAAATATGACAGTAATTATAAGGTTCATCATAGTATCTTTAAATACTAAGCTTTCCTCATATATGTAAAATACAATTTGTTTCACACCTATTTCAAAAAAATACACTTAATGTGTAAATAAAGGAATTTATAATTCTTAGTAGTCATTGCCGATTCCTCTTGTGTTCATTTCATGGCTAGACATTTCTTACCTAGCTGGTGCCGATTTGTCAGTATGTCACCAATCTCCATCAAAGCTAGACATTTAGTACATTTAGTCGTAAGTGGAAAAAATGTTTCCATTCTGAGAACATGAAACTCAACAAAGCATGAGACATTTTCAACTATCCTAGTACTCTTGCATTATGTATTCTGTATGTATAAACTGTATTTATATTCTGAAGCATCACTTGTAATGTCTTGTCACCCAAGCTCATGCCATGACTTTTGTTAATGATCAGATCACGTGGCATTAAGAGTCCTCTGCTGGGTTAGTAGTAAAACTCCCTTAACAGGGTACTCCCTGCTAGACTGTGAGCACAGTCAATAATAGGTATTTTAACTCTTTATGTCTTTATCGACTCTTGGCTGAGAGTAACTCCGTTCTGTTATATGATTAATTTTACAATAAATTAACAACTAATACCAAGTTATTTTATAGTGGGTGTCAATATTTTTAAATGCTGAGATTAAACTTTTATATATGATTTTCAGAATGTTTCTATTTTAACATCTAGAAATTAGGTTAGATTTCATGAGTTTAACTTTTTAGTACCACATTATGGTGATTGTGCTGCAGGTTGCTAGAGAGTAAAGTGAGAATTTTATTTTTTATGGGACATTTAGTGAAAAGTACAAGAAATGGCTTGGATGATTATGTGTGAATCTGTTGTTTATTTCCCAGCTAGTGGGTTGACATGCCCAGGTTGCACTGTTCATGACCATGCCCACTTGACCAAAAGTGGATTTTGTTTTGTTTTATGTTGTTTCACCGTAGGTTAACAATGCTAAGAGAGGCCTCTGATGAAATTGCGGCTGAAAAAGAGGCTGAAGTTAAATTACCAGAGGGCAGTATCTGTACAGAAGACTTAAGTTCATGCGCTAGTGTGCCTGAGATGAATGAAGACAGGAGCAGGAAAGAAAACGACTGTGCCAAAGACCTCAGGAGTCAGCCACCCACTGGAATACCAACCTTGGTGAATACTCTTCTGTGCTCTCCTAAAACAGACGTCCGTAGGCACGTGGACTAGGGAGATGCTTGTTTGTCTCTTCAGGTCCATCCACGTTAGGATTTTGTGCCAAAAGCTGGTCACGAAAGGCATTTGTGGGAAGAGGCTTTAAGACGTATTGTAAATGCTTTAACATTTTTAAATGGGCTCAAAATATTAAATCTCCACTTATATTAGATATAGGAATAGAAATAGTACCAGCTACTTTAAACCTCTATAAATATTTTGTGAATATTTTTTAAACATATTTTCTGAATTTTTTGGATAACAGTAGGATGACTACTTTATTCATATATGTTGTAAGTTTATTTCCATTTTAAACATGAAGTAAACATTTAAAGTTCATCTTGGTTAGCTGGTGTTCTGATTGAAATCTCTCTGGAAGGTGGCTGATGACTTGGTTTAGGCACAGGTGCTAATAACTAAGTTATAAAACAGGTAGTTTTGCTAGTTGAGTGAGCGATGTGTTGAGACTGCCATCCCCAAATAGGGAAGATTATTTTCAAGCTTTGAGGATGCTAGCACACTTGAGATGCGGGTAACAGTTTAGAAAATTCTAATTCTTTATTCCTGAGAAAATAGCATTATACCTTGACTGAGGACTTCCTTTTGTGAAGGTGCAAATTTTCATCAAGAGCCAGGTTTGGAATCAAGTTATACCTATAAGATAAAAAATAGACATCTGCCAATGCCTGCCAAGTTTGTATTTTGAGAACTTTCTACTTTTACTTAAATTTTATTTTTGTTACATTTCCAAAGATCCAGTAAAAATCCA